AGAGTGAGAGTGAGAGTGAGAGTGAGAGTGAGAGTGAGCGTGAGGGTGAGGGTGAGGGTGAGGGTGAGGGTGAGGGTGAGGGTGAGAGTGAGGGTGAGGGTGAGGGTGAGAGTGAGAGTGAGAGTGAGAGTGAGAGTGAGAGTGAGAGTGAGAGTGAGAGTGAGAGTGAGAGTGAGAGTGAGTGAGTGAGATGGCGAGGGGGGCTTGCTCCTCTTGCACCCTGGCGAAAGAAAGAGAGAGACTGAGATTGAAAGAGAGAGAGACACCCCAAAGCCTCATCCCACCAAAGAAGTAGGGGTGAAGGGGCCTAGGCCCGGGTCTGCGCTGCAGACCTAACCTTAGTGGAAGGAAGGAAGGAAGGGAGGGAGGGACGAAGGAAGGAAGGAGGGAAGGAAGGAAGGAAGGAAGAGAGACTGGGAACGCGCGCAGAGGGGGCTTACTGCTCTTCTTTGACTGGGTGGAAGAAGAGAAAGTGGTAGCATCACCGATGCAGTCTTCTTTGATCTTCTTCCTGATTATTTTGTACTTGTTGTTGAGGATGTTCCCCTTGTCATCCGTTGTTCCCTGCTCCCGGCCAAGCAGCCGCGGAAGTTTTTGCAGAGACACGCCCCCCATAATATATTGGGGGCGTAGGGCGCGGGGGGAAGGTCGCTCCCCCTTCCTCTAGCCAGAGAGAGAGAGAGAGAGAATCCGCCGGCCCTAGAGGCCGGGGGATCTTATCAGTTCCCTACGCCCCGGGGAAGACAGAAAGATAGAGAGACAGTGGAAGAAGAAAGCAGGGAGGAGGGTTCGCATTTAGATTCAGAGTGATGCTGGCACCTCCGCACCAGAAAGAGTACGATTGGACTTGCATAGCCTGCTTTGCTGCCGTGTGGCTGGACCTTAGAAGGAAAGTTACCTTCTCACAGCTAAGCAGTTGCAAGCCAACGACACACAGACCTACGTTTTAAGCCGGCCGAGACCCATCGAAAAGAGGTATACAGTACGCCACTTTAAAGAGTCACAAACCCCGAAACCAGTTTCCAGGCTGATGTGCGAATTCAGGCTCGACGATGGCGGAGAGAGCGCCGATTGCAGTAATGTAGCCCAAGCCATGGCCTCCATGCTGACAATGTAGCCCTGCTGAGGGCGGTCGTGGGCCGCTCCGGAAGCAGGCAGTCCCAACGAAACACACTCAGGGTCGATATCGGCGTATGCCGTTGTTGCAGACCTCACAAACGTATTCGTTTGGTTGGAGCGCACCTGCAAAGCTGCTAGAAGTTCCAATGCAGTCCGCGGCTTGTGTTGCAACATGAAGTGAACTGGAGATGGATGCTTTTGATGCCGGCGGGCTTGCGCTTCCCGAGCAGGCCATGCCGCGAACAGCGGTGCTGCCCGACGCTCAGCTGGTCCATGCAGCAAATTAAGGAAGGATGACAGGTTATGCCCGTCGTCCTGGTTTCGCGCTGCGATAAAAAATCATCTTACGATCTGTTACTTTCAGATGTTCAGGCGATGGCCCGGTGGCCACCGGCACAAGGAGTCGTGACCTCAGTGTTGCGGAGCCGAGAGCAGGATCAGCCCAAAGAACAACAGAGTTAGATTCCGTTATATAGACCTTGCAGAGCCTGGCTGCTTGGAGACCTGTTTGCAGGGGCGGGCTTCACTAGATTAGCTAGAGATTGTGTGCTCCTTGACATCTGGAGCTTCAGTGCTTCCTGTTGTCCTCTCGGCGCCAGGGATGTCAGCTTGGAGGTCTTATCGCTGCAGGAGGAAGTAGAGATCCTCCGGGAGGCGCCCAGCGTCGCGTCTTAAGCGGAAGGCACAGGAAAGAGGGTTTTCAAACAGGTGTCTGGCTTTGAGACCAGAGTTTTGACAGGCATTTTGCACACGGGTTTCTCTCGTCGTCTCGTGGAGACGTGTCTGCGATTGTCTGACGGGAATGACCTGCGGTAAGGAACTGATCAGAAGCTAAGTGTCTTGAGCTAAGCCCTCGCTTGCAAAGCGAAGGGTGTTCCTGCTAGGAGGCGGATGAGGCAGCCGAGAACATGGAGTGGCCGTGCCATGATTTCTGAGTCCCTGCTGCGGATCCGCAAACAACTGGGATCGGTCTGAAGGGACCTCCGAAGAGAGCCAGGCTTGCGCGCATGGCTGCCAAAACGCTGGAGGAGTCGACGAAATCAGCTCACGTAGGGAAGTGGGTTGTTCGGTCCCGAAAGCTTGCGGAGAAGTTCAGCCAACGAGTCCAGTCCTGCAGGAGCAGTTCCGGGCTGAACAAGCAGTGGTCCTGAGCCTCCAGTCTGAGCAGAAGGCGGAGCACTGTGTGGCGGTTGAGATTCTTCGACCCTTCGAGACGCGGCTAGCTGAAGCCTTGTATCAAAGCTCTCGAGTCCTGAAGAAGTGACACCCGTGCGCGCCTTCGGCACGAGCAGTGGCAGGCCCGGCGGCCGACTTCTTCGGATCAGGTGGACGTTGGAGCTCTGGGGTTTGGTATTCTCCCGTCTGGGCCTGCAGCCCGAATTCGAGGATAGAGAAGCGCTCCCGTGGACATTTTGGCCTGCAGTCTGAGTCCGGATCTTCTTCACAGTGCCATGCGGCAAGCAAAGTCTCTGGCTTCCGAAGATCCCAACCAACACACGCAACCCCAAAGGCCCCAAAGCCGCAGTGAAGCCCAGAGCCATGGAGAAGCGCAAGCGCTGGACGCATGCGAAGGGGGGCACCTCGGATGTGCCGGTGCAAGAAGGAAAAGACCCAGGCACACGAGAGACCAAAGCCAGTACAAGCGGGTTTGTGTGCATGTTGCTGGCGTTCAGTTTTAACACAGTGCTGCTGGCCAGCCTTCCTCGAAAGATGCTTCTCCTTTAGCTGCCGCATTTCCATCCCCTATGACCCTAATGTTCATTGAGAACCTTTGTGATTCAACTTTGTTGCAGTCTGCCTCGTGCAGTGTTCAGATGCTCTCGGTGCTAGGTTCACCTGGGCGAGGCCGAGGCAGCCGTGGCTCGCTGAACCTTGCCGCTGCGTACAGCGCCGGTGCCACCACTGCGTTTCTGCAGCGGTACCATGCGGACGGTGATTTCGGGGTTGTCCCTGCATGTGTTGTGGTTTAGGCCTTAGCCTCAGTGTGTCCGTGCCACAGGACCTGGAAAGGCTTGCTGCCCGACCGGACTTGCCTGTGGAGGCACGTGAACTAGTTTGTAGCATAGCCGGCCCAAGCCTAGCACGCGCGTGTCAACTGCTTGCCTCGAGGCCCGCTGGTTCGACTCGCACTGCCACCTGGAGACTTAGATCTGAAAAGATTGGATGCTCGTGCGTCGGAGAATACGAAGTTGGCACGTGGGACGCAAGCCACCCGAACGTGCAGTAGCATGCTGAGCTGGGCACATGAGTCTTGGCAAGTGGCATTGTTTAAACACATGTCGCAAGGCAGCTGGCTGCACTGAGGCATATCACGGTAGATCAGCCAGGGGCCTCGCAGCAGATTCGGCTGAGCCCGGAGGAGAGCATCTTGCAGCGCACGTGGCGGGGCGGCGGCAAGCCCCAAGTCTTGCAGAACGAGCCCCAGGCTCGGGAAAAAAAGAGGGAGTTCTGATGTTGATCCTCAAACCCTCAAGTCGTAGTCCGAAAGAGGTCACGCTCCCGGAGCTGGTGACGCTCTGGCCAAAAGGCCTTGATGGCTGCGTGGCCAATTTTGTCTTCAGGAAGGAGAGCAGCTCGGATGCACTATCATTCACTGCACGGGCGCAGAAAATGAGTTCTCGCAAGTACAGACATCTGGTGCGGAACAGGCAAACCAGGCTTCACCCCTGAGTGGGAGTGGATCGACCAACACCTGACTCTCAGCTCCATTTGAAGTTTCCTGATTCGGGAAAATTCTTCGGACACGAAGCCCGCAATCTTTTTCAAAAGCCCTATGAGGTCTCACTTTGAGAAGGGTGGTCCCGTCAGCGACAAGCTCCTGGGCGTGATGAGATCTCGTAGCGGTAAATGCCCGGCAAACCTAGAACTTGGGGTTGCGGCCATGTTCGTGCTTGCTGTGACGTCAGATTATGTCCAGTGAAAGACTCTAGCTGTGCATCGTCTTGTGAAGATACCTCTTGCTCTCGTGTCTCACATGTCAGGCTGTGGTTCACCATCGGTGTCTCAGCTGAAGTGGACTCGGATGTTCTTTGTCGGCGGGGTCTCAGAGGCCTCCAATAGCTCAAAGCCTTGCTCTTGCGCAGATGCCTCGATGGCCTGGAGCAGTGTAAACTCGTGACTGGAAGCTCAGTGCTCCAATACGTGGGAAGCCATCGGCAGAAGATTTTCGTGGGAATCCTTTGCATTCTGCAGTCTTTGACTCTCAGAAGGATTGCTTAGTCGCGAACAACGCTGCATGGGAAGGAATGCAGAACAGCTTGACGAATCCCCCCCCGTTCCCGCACCCCCATACCACGTGTGCACATTGACCCAATCAAAGACTCGCGTGGTCATGCTGTTTGATCAGTAACCTTCTAACATGGAGACGGCAGCAGTGTTGCCTTGCCAAAATCAATAGGCCTTCATCCGCACAATGCTGCGGGTTGGGACGCGGATGCGGAGAAGCGTCTCAGATGACGTTAATCGCATGGTAACAGCCGCGATATGTGCCGGAGCTCTTAAGCTTCAGATGCTTCTTGACGCCTTCTCTGACCGAGGATCGTCCGGCGCTTTGCTGCCCATCCGAAGTGTGTAGGCTTGGACTCGGATCGGGGAGTTTCTGACTGTCTGACTGTCTGTAGGTTCGTTAGACGACAGAGCCTTGCAAGCTTGCCAGGTCTCCTCCGAAGCACGTAACCCGTAACCCTCAACACTGCAGCGTCCCCTGAAACCCGGCAGTGCTCAAGCTCTTGATGATAACATCCAGCCCTGTCTGCATGTTATCATCGAGAGCGATCCAGGCGTTGGTGAATGTGGGTTGGACCTCTTCAAGCACGACCCGAGCGAGGTGGGACTTTAGACTTCTTGTGGCCTGAGGGGTACTCAGCCCCTAAGTCGAATCCGATGAAGTCGAATCCGATGCCCGTACGCGCCCATCATTCGCATCTGATGTAGGGAACATCGAGGGTCAGCGGCTCTTTCCACTCTTGCGGGCAGGAGGAGATCCAGCTGAGAGCCTTTCGGGCGCAGGCGGAGCTTGCCGTGGAGCTGGGCAAGGCAAGACCACGTACGATGCCCTGCCCAAGCCAAAGTGCCAAAGATCTTATCACCCGGAAACGCATGCGTTAGCACACAACTGAAGTCCCTTTCGACAAAGGCGCTCGTCGTCCATGCACGGCTCGTGACTCGGGAGAACGAGACCCGATTCCTGAGTGAGCTCAAAAGGCCAGCAAAATGTTTTTGGTGTGGTTCCGGTCCAGGTTTGCGAACAACTGCACAAATGCTGGCCCAGGGTGATTCCTCAGCACCACCCGATTCACATACACTGCTTCGGCGATTCCTTGGAGCATGCGCAGGACCCGCTCCTGCATCGATGGATGAGCTCTTGCACAGGGGATCCCAGAAACCTCTCCGGAAGAATCCGTTCAGACGTTCCAGCACTCCTTACATCGAGAGTCCCAGCGATGCTTACCGGAGGAGCTGATCAGCCACTACCCAAGGCTCCGCATCGGCTTCACGGGTGCTATCACCTTCTCGGACCCGCCAGGCTGGTCGTGTACTTAGTGAATCTAAGTGACATTTTGGTGTCTTTCAGGCAAGGGCAAGGGCAAGCGCAAGGGCAACGAAGCCAAGAAGGGCCAGGACCGTTTGCGGAGTTCCGCAGCGATCGCGCAGCGCGGGGCTTGGTGTTTTGGTTCGAGCCCCAAGACAGAAGTAACCACTTGGCCTACGTTGAGGGTTGAAGGGATGCTTGCATTGCATTTTTTAGCTTACAGCAGTGTGACTCTTCCGGATTGTGCAGCTGGGACCAGCTGGAACTCATGCCGCCAGGAGCACTGCCGAGAGCTCATCCAAGGGCTGCCGCTGGATCGGCTGCTAATCGAGCCTCGGCAGCCGCATTTCGTATCAACTCTTAGTTTTACTAGGAACTCACAGTGCGCTTCTTACTCCACTCTTGGCAAGATTTGCAAATCAAAAGACTTGCAGCCATGATTGACTTCACAGCTCGCGCCTCGGCATGCTGTGCCTGACGAAGTACGGAGCAATACGGCCACACAGTACGCATTCTGCGATATGGTTTGGCATGCAAGCAGTGAAACACGGCCCTACATGGCCATGGATAAATTACATGCTAGCCTGAGGAGACAGACGGCCCTTACATGTGCCCGGAGCCCTTCCGCGGACAGACGGCCTCTCGACTGGAACAGAAGGAAACTGCAAAGCACCCTGCACTTCAGAGGTTCGTGTTCATGTCCTCTTCGTCTAATGTCATCGCTCTCGGCAGGATAAGCACGCCTGCCACATCTGGCCAGGCCCATCCCGGTCACGTTCACCGAGTGGCTGAGCCTCAGCAAGATTCCACTCGTGACGCACTTTCTTCAACGCTGCGCTGGTTCTTCCTTCAAGTGCAGTGCTGGTATCTGGGCCGTCGTAAACATTCATGATGCTTCTAATGCCGAACTGGAAACTGATGCTGATGCTTCTGTTAATTCTCTGGATGACGATTGTTGGTAGCGTGTCATCGTGGTCACCATCGACATAGCACGTATGATGGTGATGATCTTGGTGTTTTGTTTGTTTTCTTCTGCCTGGCGGAGAATCAAGTTTATCGGAACAGGTTGCTGCTTTTGCTGCTACTGTCGCCGTTGTCGTTGTCGTGGTCATTGTCGTGGTCATTGTCGTGTCCTCGTCGTCGTCGTCGGCGTCGTCGTCGTCGTCGTCGTCGTCGTAGTTGCTGTTGTTGCTGCTGCTGTTGCAGACGCTGCTGCTGCCGCTGTTGCTGCCGCTGCCGCTGTTTCTGCCGCTGCTGCTACCGCTGTTGCTGCTGCTGCTGATGATGCTGCTGATGCTGCTGCTGCTGCTGCTGCTGCTGCTGCTGCCGCTGCCGTTGCCGTTGTGGCTGCGGTTGCTGTTGCTTGTTGCTGGTTTCTGTTGCTGTTGGTGCTGCTTGCCGGTTGCCGCTTGCCGCTTGCCCTCTTCGAGTGCAAGTGGTGGCACAGCAAAAACCTGCCGGAACTGCGCTGGTTCCAGCAGGGCCGAGCGGAAGGCTTCCCAGGACTCTTTCTCAGTGGGCTGGTTGGGGCTACCCTTCAAAACCCGGACCTCGCCTACGCCACCGACTCCAGCGGAGGCAAACACACTGGACGCCAGGTTGCGGCGCGTGGGTGTCAGTGTCCTGGCCCTCCTTCGGGAAGGAGCCGAAGTCCGCTCGCCCTCCTAATAGAGAAGAGGAGGGGCAGTAGTTGGACCTCACGTTGGACTGTGCGGGGGTGGAAAAGAGAGGGAAGGCACCCAAGCCAGGAAAGGCCAATGCCGATCTCTGGCAGCAAACTCTCAACACGGCAAGCCGCAGCGAGTCACCTGGAACTGGACTCCCACACGGACGAGGACACCTCCGCCAAGGCCTGTGGCCCTGCAAACTTCTGGAGGCGACAATCAAACAAGCTGGCCGATGCTGCCTGTGCCAAGCTTACTCCACCATAGAAGTGAGTGAGCACGCAGCTGCTGCTGTGGCTGCTGCAGACACCAAGAACAGGCAGAGACTGGAGCACTCCAGCCTCAGAGGTCAGGCCATGCTCCAAGCCACAGGGGATGGGCAGGCTCCGGTCTACAAAGCCATCAAGGAGCAGCCTTCCCCCCCGTCCAGGCTCCAACATTGGATGGGGCCTTCGCCAAACTGTGGTGGAATGGTTCCAGCATCTTGTTGGCCAGACCGACAAGTCAAGCAAGCCACACCTTGCTCTGCAACCACCAGAATCCGAAAGGAAGGGGTGCACCAGACGCACGTGCTTAAACTGCAAAACCAACGTTTGGAGTGCGAGAGTTGTGGAGGTAAAACGTCTATTTTGGAGAATGGCAAAATCACCAAGGTCTTGGCCCCTGCGTGCAATTTCTCCACAAGGGTCCATCCTAAGCAGCTCTCCAAGACCCCTTACTTGAGAAAACCTCCGAAGGCCAAGTTTCAGGTAGCCACTGGCTGAGGTTTCACCCTCCGAAACCCCTTCAACTGAATCAGGGTTGAGGTTTATCCCCAAATGCAGGCGCCTAAAGCCCGCCAGTGCACCGAGGTAACCCCCGAGATGGCAAGCCCGGAGCGCATTATCCTCGACTGGAGGTAACCCCCCGCCTAGGTAAGCGGAGAGTGTGTTAACCTCTGGCTTAGGGCAAGAGGTGTCGTTACCCTCGAAGCAGGCTTGAGTGTCCAAGTGGAGTAAGACCTCATCTGCCGACGGGGACCAACCTGTTTGCAGCTCGAAAAGTCCGTGCCGTCGTGGTCGTCGTCGTCCTCCTCGCCGCCGCAGCCGCCGCCGTGTTTCCAAGTTTTCACTGTTTGCACGGAGTAAGACATGGAACCCTCCTGATCAAGGCACCTCTGGAGACGCTCATGCTGTATCATGCGACGCACACCCCGAAGTACTTAAGCACCTGTGGACACTCAGGAGAGGATCGCGGAGTGGCAGAATGCAATTTGGAAGAATGCAGATGCACTGACGTTCAGGGTTTTTGTTGATTGATGGGCCATGGGACCATGGGACGCAGTGTGAAATGTTGAGTCGTCCTCAGCCCAGCGTTGGTTTTGCCGTCAGAAACAGAAAAAGCCTCTGGCCAAACGGACTTGTCGCACGTCAAATTCATCCAACAGTTTCCCAGCTCTTGTCTACACTACTTCTTGTGTGTGTGTGCCCCCTTCCCGACAAGAGGCCAACAAAGATAGTGCGGAGTGCAAAGCTGCGCTTGAGCTTTGGTCTGACTCGTGCTGTGAGGTTAGTTTGGGCGCAGTGATGGCTGCAACGTGGCAGAGCACCGTCGAAGTCTACGGCCTGACTCGCTAATCAAAGAGCGACCGGTGACCCGACCTTCCATGACGAGCTTCTCTGCCGCACTTCGCATTGAGAGTTTACGACTTGCGGTGCCGTCAAATACACGAGACCCAACTTTGACCCCTGGACTGTCTGTCGGCGCACAACGGGATTTGCATGTTTGCAAGATCCTGCGTGGATGGAAGACCCGCTCACAAGAAAAAGCTGCCCTCAGCAATCCGAAAGCCCAGGCCCAGCTGGCCAAGTAAGGGAAGAGAGCACCAGAAGGCGGGCTAAGAACATGTAGCCGTTCCTGCCGAAAAGACGGGCTTCCCAAGGTGTAAATAAAGGGTCCTTGCCCATCTGAACTCGAGGCGCAAGAGCTTGGCAAGATGACGAAGGAGCTCCAGCGGCTTACGTTGTCCTTGGAAGGCATCTGTGCTATTTGGGGTCGATGGTGCATGAAGCTCAAAGTCCCTGCTCTCACCAGGTTGGAAGATGAAGTCCTGAAGACGAGCAACCGATCAACCGATTCGTGCCAAGGCTGCAGCATCTCTGCGAGGTGTGGATACCCGCTACCGTGGGCAGCTGAGGCAGTTCATCTTCGCCCACTTCTCCAGTGTTTGCTGCCTTCAAGATTCGTGGAATTTTGATGACCTGTCAAAGGAGAAGTTTGGTTGCCCGGCAGTTTGGCTGCCCGGCCTGACTTGATGTGCCTCGGCTGCTGTGCCTTGTGTGCTCGAGACGTATCCCTCACGGGAACTACGGCTCGGATCTGCGATTCAGAACAATGCGCTCTGTCGGACCGCTGCAAGAAAGTGCGATGCAAAATCGTGCATCATCATGCATCGTGGCCTTCTCCTTGACCTGGCACCATGGTGTGAAAATCACGTGCTGTGCAGGGAGATCCCGAGTTGGAAAGGCTGCGTGCAGATCTGGCAATCGCCGAGGCAGGGACCCAGACCTTGCGGGAGTGCGCAACACCTGCTTTGTACTCCTTCTTCTTCTTCTTCGTGGTGTTCTGTCGCGGCGGTGACAGTGGTGCTTATAGTGGCAAATTTGATTTTGGTCGCAACTGTAGCCGTGTTCGCAGACATGGTGGGGCGCTGCTACTCGCGTTGCAGCGGTTGTAGTTGTTTTTGTTTTGATTGCGGTCGGGTTGACTGCTATTTGAGGTTCTCTGAAGCTGGTTGTCTCCACACAGTGCTGTTGACGGTTTGTTTGTTTGACAGTGGTCGTCGAAGTGCGATGAGTCAAGCTACCTTTGTGTTGCGCACTTTAAGTCTTTAAGTGCCCTTGCCGAGCTTCCGCTTTGAGTTTTGCAAGGTGCTACCGTAGTAAGTGCGTTTCTGCGGTGTTCCTGGATCCTTTTCGATGGTCCTGCGCGTCATGAAGCGAGACATCTTCGTGCAACTCGTTCCGAGCACAGTCCGTCCAGGAGGCACGGAAAGCTGACGAGCAGCGTTGTGTCAAGTTCATGGCGGAGGCAAGCACTGCTTGGCACGAGCGCAAGCTAAGTCTCGTTCTGTCTCGCGGCGCTGAGGCGGCGACGGTGCGGGAAGAGCTGGGAAGCTCCAAGCTAGAGATTGCGAATCTGTCCGTACCTGGAGCATGCTTGGACTGCTGGCACATGGTTTTGCGCATTGCCCGTGGGCTGTTTTGAGCTGTCCATTCAGTGTTGAGCTGTGCTGTGTGGGGCTGTGCTAAACTGTCATGCCAGGAGCATCACCGAGCTGTCGAGTCGGAGCTGCAAGCCAAGGCCGCGCCCGCCGAAAACATGCTCAAAGTGCGTGCGACATCGTGACTCCGAGTCTGACATCTTCCGCCGTTCACGCAGTTTGGCCCGTCTCTCCTTGTCTATCTCCACCTCACCTCCGCACGGCTTTCGAGGACAGCTCCAGCTCCGAGGAGGCCTGTTTGGGTCTTTGGATGTTGTGGCAATGTTGTGGCTCCTCGTACGGAGCTCCAGGACTTCCATCCGCAAGCACTGTCAGCAATGTCAACGATGTCAAAAAACGATCGGCAGCAGTCGACGCATGCAGGGTGCATGACGCCGCAGGTCGCGGAGCTCTCGCGGCTGC